TCTGTGCTCATAACATGCTTCCTCACTCTGATTCTCCGTGGACATGTCTTTCCAAATTCGGCTCTGCAGTACACGCAGCTGTATTCTCTGTTGTCGTCCTTAAAGGTAAACTTAGACACAGGGTCATCTGGTTTCGGATCCCCGCTCCCTGTCTGTGCCTGCTGTGGTTGTGCTTCAGCTTCAGGCTGCTCCTCGTTGCCGCCCGCTCCTTGTTGCTGCTCCTCACTGCCACCGGTGCCATGCCCAGACTGTTGCCACCCTCTGCTGGCACCACGCCCAGCCTGTTGCCACCCTCCGCCAGCGCCATGCGCCTGTGCCTGTTGCCACCCTAGCTGCTCATCACCACTGCCACACTTCATCCAACAGAATATTTCTTAATGCTGGTTCCCAAAATTTGGATTTACTTTAATTACGTATATTATGCTAATATATTCGTAGTATGAAACTGCTTCGGCTAATTTCACTACTGACAAGTATATTATGGTGAATCAAGGTGAAGCAGATATGAGATAGGTCTGGAATTATTTTCACCTTCAAGCTTAAGCACGTTGGAAATCAAATCTAATGTTTGTTTGTCTAGGGGACCTGTGAACTCCTTGGGAGTTAAAGAGTAATGAAAGAAGCAACAGCTTTGCTTGGTATGCTTGAGAAGTTATGGAGCTCATCTTATTTATATTTGTGATTGTAATTATTGTTTAGAGTGTGCTAGAATGTTATTCTTTAGAGAAGAACTTTAATTCAGCCCATTCCAAATGATAGTCAATGCAAGAATTTATTTGAGCTGGGATTGTAAAAGCAAGAGTTTTACTATTGTTCTTACTTTTATGTTCTTCAAAATGTTACTTCTTACATAGCTACTAAGCAATTGTTTCAAACTGAATTATAAATAATATTAAAATAAATAAGTAAATTACAATATTATAAATAAATTGCTATGTCTTGCATGTAGCAACACTTGGTTTGCTTAATAGTAGTGTTATTTTTACTTATTAATCTAATTGATCAAATAAAGTTTATAATTACAAGCATGTTTTTTAATTTATAAATACAAGATTAATCTTATTGCATATCAACCATTAGATGATAGAATAAAAAATAATATACTAGAAAGTGTTTAAGAAATTTTATAAATTATAAATATATTTATAAATTATAAATACAAGATTAGTCTAAATGAATAATAACTGTTAGATGGTAAAATATCCTAGAATATCCAAGTATATTCTATTTATATCCACTACCATTCTAATCCCCCTATAGGTTTGCTTAAGGAAAATAATAATTTAAACTATTTATTTAGAAATTAAAATATTATTGTGAGGTCCAAGTGTATAGCTATGATGCCATATACTAATATTAGTAGAATGGGATTTTGGTAGGCATCAAATTGGTTTCAATTTGGATTACTTGCTCTTGTATATAAGCTAAAGTTTTTGGGTTAATTGATATGCACATTTTTTATATTCTCTTTCCATATTTCGTCCACTCACATTGGTGGAAATGATCTTCATGGCAGAGTAGTAACCTCCTCCTCCTTTAACTCTAGAGCCGCAATTAGTGCAATTGCTTGATGCTATATAATTGCAATTGAACAATCAGACTCAATTGATGGCAGCATTCATAACACATGATACAACTCTTTCTGCTTTTGTTGCCAATCCTCGCATCTGGTTAGAGTTCTTCCATAGGAATCTTGAGAATACTCCAATCTTCACAAATGGCTATGCTCAAACCATTGTACCATTGCAGCATCATCCCTTAGAGACACGTGGGAAACTTATGCAAAAATCAATCATTATCCTAAGAATGATGTCCAAAAACACGTGGCAATCACCATAAAGTGATCAAGCCAATAGTATTCATACCTCTAAAATTTGAAATCGTATGTATTGGGCATCTATACATACGTCCATCCTCTTGTGAAAAGACCTTGCTTAAGGGTATATTATATTTTAAGTAGCCATTAATCAATGGGAATCGAGTCCGTGCCATTTGTTTCGATACCACATGTAGTGCACGTGGTTTTTACGCTTTATCCTATGGTGATTTACCATAGAATAACACCACGAAACAGAATTTAAACCCTCCATGTGCCACATGTCACATGCCACATACCACATGTCACATGTTTAATGGACAGTGGTGTGGAACCCAAGTTTCAGGGCTTTAGGCCATTGAAGAAAGGAACAATGCCAAACTCTCAAGCATGGAGCCAAGGAGGAATGGCACTAAAGCATGGAGCAACTCCTAAGTATACAACCCAAGGAGTGTAAAAACAGGAACATGGAATGACTTAGAACAATATTAAAGTATTTAACATCCCAATGCTAGAATTAGCATACAAAATGAAGCTAAACAAAGTTTGGCGTTATTTCAGCATACCGATGGCTTAATGCAAGGATATGGGTACTCCACCAACTAATACAGTGTAAAACTTGGGCTTAAACTCAAGCTGAACACAAAACAAGGATAGACATGCAAGTGGGAGTTAAATTATACCTCAAGTTGGTTGGCCATACTCAACTTACCCACTATCCTTATTATACATTTGGAGCCCCCTATATCCCCCCTTTTTAAGGAATACACGTTTTGGGCTTTCACTCCAAGCCTCCCTTAGTACCAGGAGTTAGTTTCTGGGACAAGCTCGAAACTTACTAAATATGGAATGTCCCTAGATTGTGAATTTGGACATATGACAAACACCGTTGTGTTCAAAACAATCTCTACATTCTGTGGATATGCCAAATGAGAAAATCTAGACACTTTTCATAAATAGCATTTGGGATCGAAATGAAACTAACACAAAGGGCATAATAGCGAAGGTGTTTGGCAAACATGGTAAGCTATCATCCAGCGATATTGAGGGACTAATCTCAATATGCGAAGGTTCTTGTCACTAACTAGTGTAAGACACAACAAGACGGGAATTCTTTACCGGGCTAAATATGCTTAGCTAATAGTATGTAGGAATTCCATCCTTATGCTTGTCTGATTTAAATACACTCGAAATGCTTAATTAACTCCACTAGCACAAGAGGGACTCATAAAGGGTCCAACAATACCGACCTCCTACTGTCATGGCAGTAAAGAAAGAATATTTAAAAGGACAGCTAACAAGTAACTTTCGATACCTAAAGTCACATTTCTGACACTCTCCTGCCTTTAGGGAAGATTGATGTCCTTGTCGATGCATACTTTAGTCTAGAACACCGCCAAGGAAACAACTCTAGAAAAAGTTCACAGTATTCACACTTTATGAGAAATGCACCAACTTAAATGAGTTAGGATAATCTCTTTGTCTAACGCAGATGCGCTACCAACTCAAACACCTTTTGGCTGTTGCCGACAAGGAAATGACCAACAGAGTTAACCACCCTTGCTGCTCTAGGTCACCCAACTTACAAAAGTGTGATATGCCCCTACCTGCAAGGACGTAGAAAGAGAAGCCAAAGGCTTCAACCCTCTTAAGCAAAGAAATTAAACCTGTCAGTAAAGATTAGATAGACTATTGTAAACAAGCAGTTAGAGTTGTTTACACGGTCACACCCTTTGAACGAAATAAGGAACATCGACAAAGAAGCGGGTGATATGACTAGTTTACAGTAGCTACCCCATGACTAAAGATTTCAACATGCACACAAAGTGTCGAAACCAATTTGCCTATACTAGCCCAAACTCAAATATCAATAGATGGACAATATCAAAGTCATAGACATTGATATCTTAGAGTCTTAATTATTAGTGATTAAATTATAGATGTATTCCAAGTAAGTTATCATCTGATAAACCAGTATTAAAGTATAGAACCACCAAGATCATCAAAATTGCAAAACATAGGATTTACTTTCTAATAAAATTCAATAGCAAGTGTATTATCAAGAAAACTCAATGATAACACATAACTTAAATAGCATGCTAAACAACTTATAAAAGACAACTAAAAGAATACAAAGTATCATTGGCTAGCAAACAATACTCGTGAATGTATCACCCGAAGGAAATAACATCTTAATCTATCAAAATTAATTCGAGCAACAATCAATAAAACAAAGTAAATGCCGTAAAACCAACAAACACTTCTTCATGTCAAATATCGTACTAGTCAAGCTCAATAGATCCCAGTTAACAATACGAAGAAACTCTAGTTGCTTAAGCAAGTGTTAACAACATCCTATCGATGTCACAAACCCAAGATACCAATTTAGAGCAAACCTCAAAAAACATGTGGTATTGCGAAAAACTATAACACGAATAAATGCACGAATATTAATATTGAGTTTCATTAGTCTCGATGAAGATAGTGTCAATGATTTAGCTGTATGGAGAGACATCTTAGTTCACTTAAATCTCAACATCAACAATGTCAATAATAGAGCCCTTAATGACTATTTTATCCCCATTTATCTCCCAAGGTTTCAAAAATCCATAGTGATAATATATCCAAATCTCATCCCATGATCACATGCATTACATTAAGTTAACATGAATATGCATATTTCTATATTTAGGGCCCTTACATTTTATAAAGATGTTTGAAATAAGTAGTACTACCCAAACCTAATGACATTTAACTTTAAGTATTCTAAAAACTTTAATTGATTCGAAAAAAAAAGGTGCATTTTTGTTTATGAGCCCTTTTTCTATATATTTGAACTCCTATGGATTATCTATTGAATCCTTTAATTGCTAATATTTTTATTTTTTATTATGCAAATTAAAAAAAAAGCTTGAGTGTTAGTCTACAATTAGTTAATAACTCTCAATTTTCCACACGTTGTTACTTAGAACAAAATTTAAAAAAAACATAAAATTCTTTAATTAATACTTATGCTTTATGATTTAGCCAATTGTTAGATTTTGAGAGAAAGAATGTTAATGGCTGCATAACAACTTAAATAATGAAAGTTATGTATGTAAAGTAGTAATTTCAAGTCATATGTGTGGTACCATCTACACAAGTTTTGCCTCTGATACTTTTGAAAGACATAGATTCACCAAGCTTAAATCTTAAGATTTGAGTTGTAAATGTTTAAAATAATGTTTCCATCCAAGAGGACTGTGATGGAGGGATAGTTGAGGCTGAAAGAGGTGTTGTTCTTGGGGCATTTGCTGCTACTGTCGCCTGTGATGTTTTGGATTTGCTTGGAGGTATAGCCTGAGTTACAGAGATAGGTGATATAGTCGAGAGGATCAGTGTCGTAGAATAGTCCTGGATTGACTGCTTTCACTGGTTGGATCTCACCGTTTCCAATGTTGAAAACAGTCGCTGCCTTGTTAGTGCTTGGATCGACGATTGTTTTGTTGGTGTTGTCTTTGGTGATAGCTGCCAAGAACACTCTTGAGTCTCCAGTTTTATTTTGTTTTCTCTCGACTTACCTGTGGTCATGACTGCTGATTTGATCGCCGCAGGACTCCATGTTGGGTGAATGGATTTCAAGTAAGCGATGGTGCCACTGACGTGAGGGCACGCCATGGAAGTTCCAGAGAGAAAAGTGTACTCCACGAACACTTCCTTTCCATTGTCAGTGTCGGGGATATTGATTGGCCAAGCTGCTAAGATCTCGACTCCTGGAGCGGTAACGTCCGGCTGCAACGCGAGATAAGTCACAAGCTTCATGGTGTGTCTTTCGAGTACCTTGATGATATCCGGACTGATTGTGTGTGGACCTCTTGACGAAAACTCCGCTACAACAGGTGCTGGCTTGTAAGGAATCGTTGTTCCTCTGAGAATTCGTGATTTACAACTGCACAGAAACCACGAGGCCAAGAGTAAGTTTCCATCACCTTTTGATCATCTGTTATACTTACTTGGCTGCTATTTTAGCATCCTCGTTGATCTCCCTGTCGATTGTACTGGCACCGACTGTGAAGATCCAGGGAGCACCGTTGGACACTGATCCAGTAAATGGTCCAGAGTTTCCACCAGCGCAAGAGACCATGATCCCTCTTTCGACGGCGTGATAGGCACCAATCGCAATGACATCTACGCTGTAAACTGCGGGATAGCCTCCAAGTGAGATGGACAGGACATCCACGCCGTTGTTGATGGCATCGTCGAAACCTGCAGCGATGTCAACCTCCTCGCAGCTATCAGTCCAGCAGACTTTGTACATGGCAATCCGAGCATTTGGAGCTCCTCCTCAGGTCGTGCCCAGAGCGAGTCCTCTCTTACTCACGTGTGGAACCAGGCTTCCAGCAGCTGTCGATGACGTATGAGTTCCATCAACCGAGTCTCTTGAGTTCTTGTATGGACCCATCAAGACTTTCGCTCCATTACAGTATCTGGCTCCAACGAGCTTCCTGGTAAGGAGTTTATTCATCACTTTAGTCTAATCTTGTGGCAAACTCTAACACGTACTTGTTGCAGTTGACAGTCTCATTGGCTTTGGTGCCTGGTGGATTGATGCAAGTTCCTCTCCAACGAGCTGGCACAGGTCCCATGTCGGTGTCCTTGAAACTCTCCGACTCCGGCCAGATTCTTACGCACAGAGCAAGTAAACACATTGAGCTTTTCCAAGCGAGTTTTGTAAGTTACCTGTGTCCAGAAGCCTGATGATCACGTCAGTACTTGGAGATCCAGTGTGACTGCTTTTGGCAGGCATGGCCAGGCCGAGGAAATCCCATGAGTGTGTTGTCAGTGAATGGAGCGTTTTGCTGGGATAGATGTTGAGGACCTCAGGCATTCCTACACAGTGGTCTGTTAAGCAATGACTGGAGATTGTTTTGGCCTCTTCTTCAGTCAGGTATGCCGAGAACCCACTGAAGGCATACTTATAGCTGAAGATGATGGACAAGTGAGCATTGCTAATGCTGGAAGACAAATTCTCAGAAGTGTGAGCCTTGCCAAGGCACAAAAGGAATTGATGAAACCTTCCAACAGCTCTGGCAAGTATGTTAACTATTGACAATGTGGTAGAAGTTGGTGCTTTTTTGGTAGTGCATTTATAACTACTATTGGATACTTTTTACTTAGTTTAGTGGTGTTCAATATTCTTGTTTGGGCATTTCATGTATTAATGTCTAGATTGGGGATATGCCACACTTTCAAGAGAGTGTTGTATTTGTCATCAATATCATCCATAAATGAATGATTTGGTGGAACAATTTGTTAAGATTTTCAAGGGGATGATTGTAAAGTATATAAACTTTCAATCAAAATAAGATGGTTATTTGGCATCTTTCTAGGAATTGAGTTTATATTTGCATTTATTATAAATTGTTGATGATAGGTTATGGTATTAATATTTGATAAACATTCCTTTGTGAGTGCATGGAATATGAAAAAAGAATACAAAAATGTGCATATCAATTAGCCTAAAAACCCTAGTTTATATATAGAAGTGAGTGGTCTGGATTGAAACCAATCCAACGGCTACTAAAATCCCATTACGCTAATATTAATATACAGCATCATAGCCATATACACTTGGCCCTCACATCATCCCTTCCTCTCAGAAAAATGGAAGGCCATCAGGGTTCTCTTGTGGATGGGCTCAGATTTGGAGGAACATCAAGAGGAGGCATCGGTGGATTTGTAGATGGTATTAACTGCTCTTGATCCCTTTGTATAAAGCGTTTTAATTGCTGCACATGCACAATCTCCGGAGGATCGGCCTGCTGGACGTCATGCCAAACCTCATAAACTTGTGGTCCAACTTGCCGCAACACCCGATACGGTCCTTTCCACTGCACAAGGAGCCCCTTAGATAAACCACATACCGTAAGATGGGGAAAACGGACTAACACTAAATCATCCACTTTGTACTCTGCAAGGGGACGATGATGGGAGTGGTAGCACCATTGTTGTCCTACTTGTACACGGCCTAAGTGTTCGGCAAACTCTGCTCGGATAAGGGGAATAATGCTTGTCAAATATTGATCCTACGACTTAATATCGGGAGCTCGTGGCAATCTCGAAGATAAATGCAACTCTATTGATAATATTGGATCATGACCATATAGGAATTTATATGGTGAAGCACCAATAAAACTCTGCACCCCTGTGACATAGGCATATTGAAGAGACGGCAAATAACCATCCCAATTTGAATGCTGAAAGTTCATATACTTCACAATCATCCCTTTGAATGTCCGAACAAACCGTTCCACCAGACCATCTGATTGTGGATGATAAGCACTCGTGAAAGTGTGGTGTATCCCCAACTGAGATGTCAAAACATGAAATGCCTCAGCCATAAATGCAAGACCATTATCCAAAAGAATCTACTCTGGACAAGAATGCTGGAACACTACTCGATTGAGGAGGAAGTATCCAACAGTAGTTGCCGAGGCACTAGCAAGAGCACCAACTTCCACCCAACAAGTCAAGTAGTCAAAAGCAATAATAACATACTCATTGCCAGTAGTCAACCGTGGAAAAGGTCCCATAAGATCAAATGCCACCAACTCAAACAGACGGGAAATTGCAATTGACTCCAACCGTCCTTCTGCAGCACAAGGGGGAGTATTACGAGCTTGGCACCAAACGCAACTACGCACATACTGGATAATATCACGTCGCATCTTCAGCCAATAGAAAGACTTGTGTAGCTTCTCAATCACACGACAATGTCCCATATGCCCACCTAAAATAAGAGAATCATGGTAGGCATGCAGAATAAAGATAGAAGGCACCACCAGCCGTAAATGATCATCAGGATCCGTCCCTATAAAATAAAGAAGGCCATCTTGAAGATAATATTGAGAATGTAAATGCTGAAAAGGCAAGTCATCAGTAAGTGATGCAAGATTCTTAAATGCATCTCGAAACCTTCGAATCCACGTCTCAATATTTTTAGCCTCGCGAACCTTATCAAGAGAAGGTAGATCTTGCTCTACATCTTGTGGACACTGAACATTAAGTATAGCAACCGCCGACGGCACAGAATCCTTGTCTAGAAAATCCACAGATGCTGGAACAACAGGCTCATCAGAAACATGAGAAAAGAGTGGAGAAGGAAGAGGAGCTCGAGAAAGGGCATTAGCATCAGCCATAGAACTCCCTGGGCGATGAACAACATCAAAATTATATATCTGAAGCTTTAAAGCCCACCGAGCAGTACGACCAATCAGGTTCTTCCGCTTCAATAATGAAGTAACGGCAGCATGGTCACTTTCAAGTAACGTCCGAAAACCATGTAGATATGCATGAAGTTTTTCGAAACCTTAAACTGCTGTTAAACACTCCTTCTCTGTCGTGGAGTAGTTCACCTCTGCTGGTTGTAACGTATGGTTTATATATGCAATGGGATGACGCTAACCAAGCACACTCAGGCTTTCTTGCATCAACACACCTCCAAGACCACTATCAGAAGCATCTACGTGCAAAATAAAAGGTCAAGTGTAGTCAGGATATGCCAAAACCAGAGGAGTTGTCAACAGCTTTTTGAGATCCACAAATACCCGCTCACAATCTGAAGACTAGATGAAAGATGATATTGATGACTTTAGCAATGCTCGCAATGGTGCAGTGCGATCAGAAAGATGATCCACAAAACGACCGAAATACTGCACCTTGCCTAGGAAGCGCTACACATCATTCACACACTTCGGAGTAGGGAACTTTAGAATGGCTACAAGTTTGTCAGAATCAACTTGCAAACTTTCACGAGAAATACGGTACCCAAGATAAGTTGTGTCCTTGGACCCAAACATGCACTTCGACTGTTTCAGCTTTAAACCAACATCCTGTAGCCGATCTAACACTTTACACACATCACGAATGTGCTCCTCCCACGTCCCCTCCGAATGAATCAAGACATCATCAATGAAGTCAGTAGTCACCTTTAACATATCACAAAGAACTTCGTCCATCATCCGCTGGAAAGTTGCTGGAGCATTGTTCAAACCAAACAGCATCACCAAGAACTCGTACAAACCAAACGGTGTACGAATTAGTATTGGGACTCAGGAACATCTGCTTCGGCCATCAGTACTTGCCAGTACCCAAAAGCTAGCTTGGTGAACCAACGACTTCGCCCTAGACGATCCAAAAGATTAGCAGTGTGAGGAAGAGGGTACACATCTGGGATCGTCACTTCGTTTAACGGACAATAGTCGATGCAGAAATGAATACTCCCATCAGGCTTTGTCAGAAGATGAGGTTCACATGCCCAAGGACTCTGCGACTTCTGAATAACACCCTTTTTCAACATCTTCTTGATGTTTGCGAGTAAAATCTTGATCTCCTTGGGTGACCGACAACAAATAGGAACCTTGATTGGATGAGCATCCTCGGTGGGAATCGGATGACATGTGGCAATCTTGGCACCAGACAATAGATCAAATTCAAAGAGATCAGAATACTCCTTGATGAGCCGGTCAACAGCTGCAACACAAAAATCATCAAAGGGATTGGAAAAGGGAAGAGCAGAACAAGATGGAAACATAGGAGGAAATAGTGGGGGAACAAAAGTAATGGAAGCAGAGGTAGAAGTAGAGGGACGAAGAGGTATGGAAATGAGAAGAATGGATGAAACATAAGGAAGTATGAGACAAGGGGGAGAAGCCTCAAAGTCACACTTGGCATAATTGCGTTGCAACCAATCCATACCAAGAATGAGGTCAAAAGCTTGATTCGGCACCACCCGCAACGACTGCAACTCAAGCTCGAGATCGCCCACACGCACAACCAGGTCCACCTCATCTCGTGCACATGCCGTTGCCAAAAGGAATGAAAATTGGATCTGCCACACGACGCAAGTGTAGACGACAATGTGTGGCAATAGGTCGAGCAATAGAAGATAAACTCGAACCTGTATCAACCAACACGGAGAGAATAATAGGAGACCTCTTGTTATAAAAACGAGCTTGGAAAGTAAACACTAGATGAACCGGTGCCAAGTGAACCCTTTGATAATACTCTCGAAAGAAAGATGGAGGGGTTGCTAACTTATTCGCATAAGATCCCTCCGTTACTTGCGAAACTCCTCATTTCCTAAATGCACCTTGGTGTCCAAACCTTCCACCGCAATAGCACCAACGGGACATTGCTGACGCCAAGGTCTCCACCCAGGAAATGGAGGTCGTCAATCCGGAAAGTGCTGACAACGTCGATAAGTATAACCAACCTCATCACACGCCCAACAACGAATATCACGGCCACAACCACGTCCTCGCCCTTATCTTTGGACTTGAGTAGCAGTAGCATCAACCTCCATTGGAACAGGACCATCACTCATAAGAAGTGGAGTTGAAGGACGTGCAGCAAGAAGTGGAAGAGGTGATGTCTCATAATGTTGTGCCAAGCGAAGAGCATCATCAAGGGTGGCAGGAGCAAGTGCATACACAAGTCCAACAAGATCTTGACAAAGTGCTGGCCACAACATTCCTAGCTTGACCCTTTCCGACATATTGGGTTCCACACGAAGCAAAAGACTTCGGAAACGAACACCAAATTGCATCACCGACTTAGATGGCCCTTGGCAAAGACGATGCAATTGTTGGAAGGCATCATCACTATTGTCAGCATGTTCGAAGGCGCATTTGAAGACGTCTGGAAGAACACTCCAATCCCCACAAGTGGCTGCGCTCAATCCATTGTACCACTACAACGCCGTCCTTTGGAGACACGTGGGGAACTCACGCAAATGTCGAGCATCAAATGATATGTGGCAATCACCATGAAGTGATTGAACCAATGGTATACATCATCCCCAGGATTCCCACGAAAGAACTCCAGCCGAACGCGAGGATTGGCACCAAGAGCAGGAGAAGTTGGACCACATGCCGTGAATGCCGCCATCAATTGAGTTTGGTTGGTCAATTGCAAGCGCATAGCATCAAGCAATTGAACTAACTGCTACTCTAAAGTCAAATGAGGAGATTGTTGATCTGCCATGAAGATGAACGAAAAAGAAATAGCAAAAGAAGAGAAATGACAAAAAGCTGGAAGGAAATGGTAGATCTAGACAATGCAAAAAGCTAAATCTAAACCAAAATCTTGAAAGGAAAGAACAAAAAAAAAGAAATGGAAAAAGCTAGATTTAGATGATGCAAAAGTTAGATTTAAACCGAAATCCCAAATCTAAGCACTCCCCAAGGACAATCAAAGGTGCCCCTCATCTCCACCAATGTGAGTGTATAAAATATAGAAAGGGAATACAAAAATGTGCATATTAATTAGTCCAAAAACCTTAACTTATATGTAAAATCGAGTGGTCCGGATTGAAACCAATCTGACAGCTACTAAAATCCCACTACATTAATATTAATATACGGCATCGTAGCCGTACACTTGGCCCTCACACCTCCATTTTTTTTTAATTAAAGTTTGCTAAACACTTGAGTTGCATACAAGTGAGATAAAAATGGTATTATAACTCTTATTGTCATCCATTTATGAAGTGCAAAATGGATGATCAAATGTTAACTCATCCTCCTAATCTTAAAGTGTGTGGTTTATCTAAAATGTTTGTTCTTAGTTAGAAGGGATTATATAGAGTGTTATTGCAAGTTGGGCTACAAGTTTATAAAGTTTGACATAAAATTTAATAGGTTAGGCCTATCAACAAAAAACCGTAGTTATTTTCCATTTTTTCGAGAGAAAGGGATGTTATGAAGTTTAAATTTATGGCTATGATGTTGTATATTATTATTAGTGTAATGGGATTTTGATATTCATCAAATTAAATTTAATTTGGACCATTTACTCTTAGGTTAACATGAATATGCATATTCTCATATTTAGGACCTTTACTTTTGAAATAAGTAGTACTACCCAATCCCAATGACATTTAATCCTAAGTATCCTAAAACCTTTAACTAATTAAAAAAAAAGGTGCATTTTTTTTCATAGGCCCTTTTTCTATATATTTGAACTCCTATGGATTATCTATTGAGTTGTTTTCCTTAATTGCTAACATTTTTAATTTTTTATTATGCAAATTAAAACAAAAGCTTGAGTGTTAGTCTACAATTAGTTAATAACTCTCAATTTTCCACATGTTGTTACTTAGAACAAAAGTTTTAAAAAACATAAAATTCTTTAATTAATACTTATGCTTTATGATTTAGCCAATTATTAAATTTTGAGAGAAAGAATGTTATTGGCTGCATTACAACATAAATAATGAAAGTTACGTGTGTAAAGTAGTAATTTCAAGTCATATGTGTGGTACCATCTACACAAGTTTTGCCTCTGATACTTTTGAAAGACATAGATTCACCAAGCTTAAATCTTAAGATTTGAGTTGTAAATGTTTAAAATAATGTTCTCTATCTTCTTGATATTATTCATAAAATTTACTATTTCAACTATAAATTTTTATCTACAAAATAGTATGACAATTGAGAGTGTTAATTTAGTTATTCTTGCTCTTGAATTAATGATTAATAACACTGAATCTGGAGAGTTACCAAAAGGTCAAAGTATGCAATATGATTATACAATACAAGATGATATATATGGTCCTTTAAGCATGACAAATCAAATATGGATTTATAGTTCAAATAGAAAATCTATTGATACAACTTGTGGAGCAAATCTTGTTGAATATGAACACAATGATGGTGATAATGTGAGACATAGACTGACTACTCTATTAAATTTATATCGTAATCATATTCTAAATTTACGTGCAAGATTTGTTAGAATAGTGTTTGGTTCTTATGCTATTGAGTTTATGGAAAAATATTCTGCACGTGGATTACCACAAATTGAAAATACTATATCCAATAATTTACATGATTGTAGAATTGATCTCACTACTTTAATTAGTAACATGCCTTACAATTCCTTAAAAGCTACTGAATTTTTATTATCACCAAATAATAAAGCTTATTTATATTTACATTTAAATTGCATTCTTGCTTTATATGTAAGAAATGTTATAAAATGGTATAAAGGATCTTCAAATTTTAAAAACTGTGAATTTAAGATAGAAATGGATGGGAATATTATACTGTATTCTGATAATTCAATTATGGTTTGGTCTCCTAATATATATTGTAATAAGAAGAGAAATTATGATATAGTAAAAACATTTCTTTCTCTTCAAAGTGACTATAATTTGGTATTATATGAATCCCATCAAAAAACATTTTTAAAACATCCTAAATTGAAGGTATTGTGGGCTTCAAATATGCAATTAATTGTAATTTCTTTGCAATGCCCTTTGCAAATTGAGAGAAAAATGTGATAATTTGTATACAATTAGTCAAAAATTCTCAAAAGAAATAAAAACTCTACCTACTTCAATTGCTCCCTTAGAGAAACTCCTTAATACGGTTTCTATGTTTTTTGAGATGTAGTTTAGATTTACATGCAGTTTAAGGGTAATTTGAAGTTAAAAGTGAAGAACCCTAGAAATATTTCTCTTTCGATTCATTCTCACGGCGATCGGGCTGCGCACAACGTGCACTCCATCTTCCCAGGTGAGATCCGAGAAGCTCCATTTCGGCGCTTGGGGATCCGCCGCTATGGATCCCTTGGCGGAGACGGTGACGCTGTAGCTCAGCTTCTGTCCGGCGCTTGTGAAGCTCAGCTTGGTGGGAGTGACCGAGATCGAGATTCCTTTGGCGCTTCCCACGGAAGCGGTGTAGGTCGCGCTGGGATTTCCCACATTGGTCACTGTCCTCTCCACCGTCTTGCTGGATCCATCCAAGAGGACTGCGATGGAGGGATAGTTGAGGCTGAAAGAGGTGTCGTTCTTGGGGCATTTGCTGCTACTGTCGCCTGTGATGTTTTGGATTTGCTTGGAGGTATAGCCCGAGTTACAGAGATAGGTGATATAGTCGAGAGGATCAGTGTCATAGACTAGTCCTGGATCGACTGCTTTTGCTGGTTGGATCTCACCGTTTCCAACGTCGAAAACAGTCGCTGCCTTGTTAGTGCTTGGATCGACGATTGTTTTGTTGGTGTTGTCTTTAGTGATAGCTGCCAAGAACACTCTTGAGTCTCCAGTTTTATTTTGTTTTCTCTCGACTTACCTGTGGTCATGACTGCTGATTTGATCGCCGCAGGACTCCATGTTGGGTGAATGGATTTCAAGTAAGCGATGGTGCCACTGACGTGAGGGCACGCCATGGAAGTTCCAGACAGAAAAGTGTACTCCACGAACACTTCCTTTCCATTGTCAGTGTCGGGGATATTGCTTGGCCAAGCTGCTAAGATCTCGACTCCTGGAGCGGTAACGTCCGGCTGCAACGCGAGATAAGTCACAAGCTTCATGGTATGTCTTTCGAGTACCTTGATGATATCCGGACTGATTGTGTGTGGACCTCTTGACGAAAACTCTGCTACGACAGGTGCTGGCTTGTAAGGAATCGTTGTTCCTCTGAGAATTCGTGATTTACGACTGCACAGAAACCACAAGGCCAAGAGTAAGTTTCCATCACCTTTTGACCATCTGTTATACTTACTTGGCTGCTATTTTAGCATCCTCGTTGATCTCCCTGTCGATTGTACTGGCACCAACTGTGAAGATCCAGGGAGCACCGTTGGACACCGATCCAGTAAATGGTCCAGAGTTTCCACCAGCGCAAGAGACCATGATCCCTCTTTCGACGGCGTGATAGGCACCAATCGCAATGACGTCTACGCTGTAAACTGCGGGATAGCCTCCGAGTGAGATGGACAGGACATCCACGCCGTCGTTGATGGCATCGTCGAAACCCGCAGCGATGTCAACCTCCTCGCAGCTATCCGTCCAGCAGACTTTGTACATGGCGATCCGAGCATTTGGAGCTCCTCCTCGGGCCGTGCCAGGAGCGAGTCCTCTCTTACTCGCGTGCGGAACCAGGCTCCCAGCAGCTGTCGACGACGTATGAGTTCCATGTCCAACCGAGTCTCTCGAGTTCTTGTATGGACCCGTCGAGACTTTTGCTCCGTTATAGTATCTGGCTCCAACGAGCTTCCTGGTAAGGAGTTCATTCATCACTTTAGTCTAATCTTGTGGCAAACTCTAACACGTACTTGTTGCAGTTGACAGTCTCATTGGCTTTGGTGCCTGGTGGATTGACGCAAGTTCCTTTCCAACGAGCTGGCACAGGTCCCATGTCGGTGTCCTTGAAACTCTCCGACTCCGGCCAGATTCCTACGCACAGAAGAAGTAAGCACAGCGAGCTTTTTCGAGTGAGTTTTGTGAAGTTACCTGTGTCCAGAAGCCCGACGATCACGTCAGTGGGAGCACTTGGAGATCCAGCGTGACTGCTTTTGGCTGGCATGGCCATGCCGAGGAAATCCCACGAGTGTGTTGTCAGTGGATGGAGCGTTTTGCTGGGATAGATGTTGAGGACCTCAGGCATTCCTACACAGTGGTAACGATCAGTTTGTACTTGTCATGTGTTAAGCAATGACTAACTGGAGATTGTTTCGGCCTCTTGTTCGGTCAGGTACGCCGAGAATCCACTGAAGGCGTACTTGTAGCTGAAGATGATGGACGAGCGAGCATTCTCGATGCTGCAAAACAAATTCTCGGAAGCGTGAGCGTCGCCAAGACACAAAAGGAATCGATCAAACCTTCCAACAGCTCTGGCAAGTATGTCATGGTGGATCAAGGTGAGCTCGCTCGATTCCACTCCTTTGCTAGTTCCCAGATATGCGATATAGGCCTGGAAGTTTTTCCACTTTGAAGCTTTAAGCACGCTGGAAATCATTCTCACCTTCTTTGTAGGAGACCCGAGAATCGCTTGGCACTGGAAGAGCAAGCAAGCAAGAAGTAGAAGCTGGAAAACCATCTTTGCTTGCCTGCTAGGCTTGAGAAGCTATGGAGGAGAAAATCTTATTTATACTTGCGATTATAATTGTCATTTAGAATGTGTTAGAATGTGGAAGATTCTTTAGCGAAGAACTATTGTGAATGATACTCAACGTAGGAATTTTTCTGGGATTGTAAAAGACAGGACATTACTGTCACTATTTCACGTTTGACTTTTTTCGTTTTTACGCGGAAGAGCTTCACAGTTTATTTACTTATTAATTAATGGTAGAATCTTCACATTTTTACAAAGCTCCAAACAGCTTGGAGCTGTTCTTGTGTTTTTTTATGCGGCAGTGGCTGGATCTTTGCCGCAACCCAAGAGCAAATGCGTGATTATCATGTTTCCTCGTCTCACCGATTCGGCCAATCGTCCCACCAGCGGGAGCTTCACTGTGTCTCTCGATTTTAATGGCTGCTTATGCCACCTGAAAACACGAAGTAAGTCTCTAAACAAAGTAGATCATGGCTTACAAGTCTTGGTGGCTGATCACTTTCCCATTCTCGACCTGATCAAAGAAGAAAGAATCGAAGCTGTGAGAGATTCTTCTGACGAAAATGGAAAAGAGATTCTTCTCAAGCTTTTCTTAATACCTTGAGCTTGATGAGCATGTCAATTTTCCGGCCCAGAAACTTGCAGTGTTGGACGTTGTCAATGCGAATCTCTCCATTCTCTGGCTCTTCCACAACACTGTAGTTGTCCGGGATTCGTCCCTCGCTAAACACCTTCCAATCCATCAATGCGTTAGAAGCGGAATCACTCGAATTTGTAGACATGGCTTCTCTTCTCTTACTTTGGGAATGGAGTAGAAGGCTGATTTGATCTGCAGGACACTGCGCAAGAAAGAAATCACATAGAATGAATCGATTGAGTGAGAGAGCGATGCCTTGATACCCATTTGCGCGCATTAGCAGGTCCTCAAACATGGCATTCGATGTGTAGACATCAAAATCCACTGCGGTTGCCTTGCAATTGTATCTAAAACCATGAAATCTCAAGGGATTGGCAGTGAAAGCAATCAAAATGGCACACTTACAGGTTGAGAATGTGAGGAAGAATGCTCCACGTGAGCTGACTCAGGCCATTTGGCGCCAAGAACGCGTCAAAACGATACGCTGATTAATAATTGTACCAAAGAATGTTAGGAATCTAGAGGTTTGGTGTGTTTGGTTGCTTGTGCTAACAAGGAGTGTAGCTGAAACTTAAGTTTAATCTAACCCGGGGAGGGGGATTAGGAAAGATTTGGGAATTTGTGGATGGATGAGTAACACTCTGTTATTTGTGAGTAATTGAAACCAAGTAAAACCAAGTAAGAGCTAATACAATAGGTGGGAACTTTGGTGAAGGAACTTAGCTAAAGCTAAGGCAGTGTTGGTTGAATAAACAAAGTAAGTTAGCAAATTGGAAAGGAAAAATTTGTAACTTATAGGAAGCCACTTGTTCCTCCAATCCTCTAAATAACTAGATTTTACCTACTCTTTTAGGATGGCATAGTGGAGGCACACTACTACAAGAGTAAGAAGCTATCACCATAAATATCCTCGTTTGTTGTCTATCAAAGTGATAGTGATTCTTTGCCTCTTAGAGTGCTTGCACTCCTGTCACTCTCTAGATAGACCAACACTTGTGACTAATTGCCTCCCAAACTGACATACCAACTTCAACTCCTGTCTCATCCCACCAAACTCATATATTCCATCCATATCAACCTTGATATCATATGTGTCTCCAAGCCAGACTAGTGGCTAGACCTTGTGTTCCTTTGAACTAGTGTAGAACATCCCCTTTCTTAGCCTCAAACTCTGAAACTTCTTCTAATTCCTGTATCACCTTGAGGATCTATCGCTATACCTCTCTTGCCATATTGCATTCCCGCAAACTATGCTACACCATCTCTAGTTTGCCACACTCCTTGCATCGTCAATATGCTTCCTCCTAGAACCATTGTCCCACTAGTAACCTATTGTTTGCCACCAACCATGAGGTGGCCTTGACTTTCTCTTGTACAGGTAATTTCCAAAAAGCAAGCATGTTGTCCACCACCTCGTTCATCTTGACTTCTTGCTTGATCCACTAGTGCTTGGGTTTGATGAAATGTGTATATACATTTCCCATGTCTCCATGGGACTAATACAAAAACTAAGCATGTTGCCTACTCACTAAGCTACAATCTCATGTCTTAACTAGGCCTAATCCTGAAGTAAAAGTGGACATTGTTATCTCCTTTGAATCATATTGATGTCCAAGTCCCCTCCCCAAGCCGAGTGAAGAATAGCATCAAGGGGGGTGCCATTGCCAGTGGATCTTGTCATCAATCACCCTCCTAGGAGCCATCTATTCTGCCACTCCCCTAGACAATCAGGCTTTGCCTATTCCTTTACGATGACATAATGAAGGTGAGTAGCTGCTAGAGTAAGTCTCCACTATGTGGCCACAATAGCGGATACTCTTGCTTGTTGCCTATCAAAGTGATGGTGGTTACATGTCTCCCAGATAGCTTGCATCCTTATCACTGTCCATACTGCCCGGCATTCATGGCCCATTACCTCCTAGACTGATGTTCCAACACCTATTTTGTCCCATTGGACTCACATTTTCCAACTGTGCCATCCATGAAATGTGATGCGCCTCCAAGCCAGACCTATGGTTGGTCCTTCGAACTAGTGGAGCATGTCACCACACTTTGCTTCAAACTTTAAGATGTCCCTTATCTCATGAGCCGCCTTGAGAATTTGACGCAATACTTTCTTTGCCATATGGCAATCCCACAATGTATGTTACACCATCTCCACCTTGCTACACTCCTTGTAGCATCGGCTAACATCATCTTGGAACCATTGTCCCACTGGCAGCTTGATGTTTGCCATGAGCCAGGAAGTGATCTTGACTTTCTCTTGAACTGGCAACTTCTAAAAATCTAGTGTGTTGTCCACCACTTGATTTGCATCCACTCCTTGCTTGATAATTTCCTCTATAGCTTTGGGATTATCCATATGCCTCCTCCCTATTTGTCAACAAGCCATCCTGTGCCTCCACCTCAAAGGAGAAGAAACTGTTCAAGCCTTGCCTCCATTCTACAGGATCCCAATCCAGGTCTTCAATCAGTTGCCGATGCCACCACTTGAGTATCCGATCCCCTCAAGCATGGCTAGTGATTGCATAACGACCAGCTGTTTCAACACTTGGCAAAGAACTCAAATCCTCCCCTTAACCTTGTCATTAGTCACCATCGGCATGTCTTGCTCTTCTCCCACTAGCAATAGCATGTCCTCCCTTGTCACCCAAAAGGGGTGACTTATGTTCTTCTCTAGAGCAACTATGAACTAGACCTCCACATTGCCATCTTCCCATGCTAGTGACAGGGCTCTAAACACTTGAATCCACTCACCTAGCTTGACTTGTTCTCCATCTAGCTCAATCTCCCATTGTAGCATTATGAAGTCCCCGGCTTTAAGGCACCTTCTCAGCCAAGGTTGTCCCCTCTTTGCCTCACCCACAACTCGGAGGATTTGAAGGATGTTTATGTGAACTTTGCGACTCCTACCCAGGTTGAAGACTTGCATCCTCCTTATGGTCTTCTTCTAATCCTTGTCCAACACTCCTATGAATTGTTTTGTTGGGGAAGGAAGGCTGCCTCCCCCAATGCTCGCTCAAACATGAAAAAATGCTTCAATGCTCTCCACAAATGCCCCCCCTTCCCCTTGTGGGGCAAGGGTTTTATACAAGGAAGATGGGGAATATTTTGAGGACTAGAATATTCCCTCTCTCTCTCTCACTCTCTCAATGGCCACGCCCTAACATGTGACCACGGTGGATCATACTGGCTCTAGATGTGCAAGAACCCTTTGAAGAGTGTAAAGTGTACCTTTGCTACTAATGCCAAGTGCTGGTAACTGCATGAAATAGTAAAAACTCTAGAAAACAAAGTGGAAAAAAAAAAAAAAAGAGGTAGATGTGAAATTTGGAGATAGGGAAGAAAACCTGGTGGGAAACCCTGTAGTCAAACTAAACCTTGAAGTTAAAGAAAAGTGTAGAAAAAGTGTGAAAAGAGGAGAAAAATAGAAGAAAAGAAAGAAAAAGAAAAAGTGAGTACTCAAAGAACTTAACTTGTACTTGAATTTTGGCTCAAGAAAGTGTAATATGCAAATGCAGCCTCTTGATGACTTCTAATATGCTCCAAGGATTGGCTAAAATTGAGAAAGAAAGAAAGGTAGAAGAGGGGATGCATTGCCCAAGGGTGGCAAATGTAGAAATGATGAAAGATGGAGTGATATGTTGGAGTGCCGAGATAGTGGTGGCACTCTAAAAAGGTGGTCATCTCTAGAAGTGTCAAGCCAATGGTTTGATGTGTCAAACTGAAGAAGACAACAGCTGAAAAGGATGGCATAAGGTAAAAAGAGGTGGCATGTATCCACTGAGTGCTAGAGTAGAAGAAAATGGCTTCAGCTTCTGTGGCCTCGCCTAAAGATCCACCTAGGTGCCTTGAATGAACAAGCTCACCAGGTTGGAAGAAAGTCGCTCCAGAAAAGCTAGTGCGTTATCGGCAAATGGTCATAATGATATCTAGGAAACAACACGTCCAAATGAGGTGGTGTCTTCCTATTACTGGTGCACGTATGTGTGTCCATGGTATAGTGTAAATGTGACCTCAAACAGAGATGTGAATAATGGTGAAAGAATAAAAGATGCAAGACAGGCATCTAGAGGTAAATGCGGGCAATGCTGCTGGAAGTGATTGGTGATGGAACTGTGAGTGTAGGTGATATAGAATGGGTGTGGGGAATGTGTGGGGTGTATTAATAGTAAGAGAAGGGCCAAAGAACCTGGAATAGAGACTGAGCTAAGTGAGGAACCTCCATACAAATGGCAATGCAACCTGAACATGAAATCCAAGGCACAAGCCACAATCCAATGGAGAAACACCCTCTGAAAGTAAGAAAAGAAGCCATGAAAGTAAAGTGAAAGGAAGGAAGAAAAAGAAAAAGAAGAGAAGAGGTACGCCTCACCGAATGAAGCGTTTGAGGTGAGAGTGGTTGTGAGCATGTGGGAGTTCACGTCCATCAACGTCGACTAGCATATATGCTCCACCCCCAATGTGTTGTTGAACAAAGTAAGGGCCGGTCCAATAAGGGGAGAACTTCAAAGGTGGCGTAAACTCCTTGAGTAGAACAAGATCACCATCCTCGAATGGTTCGGCAGACTGTTGGTGATCAATGACTGACTTGATCTTTTTCTTACTTCGAAGGAGATGTTCAATTGTGGATTGTCGCTATTCTTCCAAGGCAAGAACCTCCAAGTCACATGCCTGAAACTTATCCTCATTGCTAAGCTACATCATTGCTGCGTATCAAAGTGAAAGTGAGAGTGATGGCACTTGGATCTCCACTAGAAGTATGGTCTTTGTCCCATAGACAAAGGAGAATGGGGTTGTAGAGATGGATGTCTTGAAGAATGTTTGAAAGGCCCACAATGCTATAACTAAGTCCTCATGCCAACTCCTTGGGTGATCCTCCACAAGCTTTGAGATGACTGTCTTTAATATCTTGTTACTGGACTTGGCCTGGCCATTGCACTCAGGATAATAGTTGCTACTCTTAATGTGCTTGATC